TCTTGCACTGCAGTGGGTTGAACTAGATGGCCCATGGGATCCCTTCCAACTCTACAATTCTGTGATTCTATATATGCAGTAGTTGCAGCTCAATTGGATTACTGTAACATACTTTGTGTGGAACTGCCCTGAAAACCATTTGGAAACTTCAATTGGTGCTGTGAAAAACCTGACTGAGCCAAAGTGTTGGGATCGTGTGTCTCCATTACTGTATGAGCTGCACTGGCTTCCAGTCCATTTCTGGGTGCAATTCATGGTGCTGGTTATTACCATTCCCCTTTCCATCCTGTGCTGCCTGGTAACTTAGATAAAACTCAAGTATTCATGGGGTGAAATCAAACCCACACAAAAACATGCTGTTTTTTTCAAGGGAAAAAGAAGAATTTCCAGCTCTCCACAAGAAAGCCTGCTGAGAAGGGAGCATACTGAAAACAAGCCAACATTAATCTGTCTAAAAAAGGTTTCAGCCACAAACTAAGGTGCCTTCTCAACCCTGTGCCTAAAACTTGCCTTCAGACTATGAAAAGCAAGCAGAAATATCATTTAACAAACAAGCCACTTGCTTACGCAACATTTCTCTGTTGTCTACCATACTGTAAATCCATGGAAACCATCCTATATACAGACATTTACCACAACACAAGCAGAAATATTACACAAAATCCAGAAGCAATGTTCAGCCTCTGAGCTGTGCTTCTGGGAAGGTTTTACAAAGTTTAGCTGGTGAGTAATACTTTTTTTAAAAAATGTGATTTTGAAGGTGGTCAATGTTACATAGCATCAAGTAATTTCCCCCCTTTTACTCATCAAACATACTTATGTAGCAATGTATCTTAAAGTTCTTGCCATTTGAAACACAGGTTAATATAAACAAAGTGGTGAAACACTGTCGCCATTGTCAAGAAAACAACAACCCCTACCCTTAATTACATAATTTACGTACACATATTCTCCACATCTCTCATCAAAATCAAACTTTCCATGAAGATTTTTGGCTCAATTTCTTAGAACTCAACGCCCAACCAAAATGAACCTTAAGTATAATGGGCCTTTACAGATTGCTTTTTGTGGCAGGGAATTCAGTTTCACATGTACTGATGTAATATCTAAAGACGTGGCACCATATGGGCAAGGCCTCTCATATCAGTCGTCCTCACTGGAATGTGGCCTTCTCACCTGTAGTCCCACCCAGAGAATGTTAAACCTATAAATGTCACAGCCGATGAAGCAACAGCTGTCATGCTTCTGCTGTAATCTATAAAGAGTGCCAGAGTAGATTTGATCTTCTTCATCCCTTGTTTCCTCTTCCTCCTCTATCTTTTTGTTACCCATGCCTCTCCCTAGCTTTCCTTCATTGTCCCTTCATACTGCCACATTTCCTTGTTCCATCTCAATAAAAGGCCACATACAATAATGGAATAGCAACATTTTCAATACAAAATGATGTATTTCCTCTTCCAATGCAGCTCAGGGAAACACAGAACCCGCATCCCAGGTTGAGAAATTGTGAATGACACAAGGTTCACATAATGAGAAATCTCCACAGTTCTTGTGCAACATTTTACCAGTTATGCCACACTAGCATCATTAAATCATAATAGTACCATCAACTTCATCAAGATTTTGCAGAGGCTTTAGAATCGGAGATATTCTTTGGCAACAGGATGGATTATGGTGGTCACTTCTGAAAGGCAATGGTTCTCATTTAGCCTATCAAACAGATGAAATTTCTCAGAGACAAAGCTACTGCATTTAAAAGGTAAAGATAACATAGCATTACTAGTGTCTGGGCATAACTGTAACTAATTGCAACCCAGATCCAACAGAGAGGAGGGTGTTCAATACAAGGCAGAGAAAATTATCAGTTTTGGCCTTCCTGCTCTTGCAGTGCTAATAACCCAATTAATAATCAAACTGTTGAAATAAAAATAAAGGCAAATCACGTAAACGCCTTAAGAATCGTGGGTTGGGGATTAAAATCACAGTTTCCTAAATAATAACACTTCATGCAATGCACCTGTACCTGCTTTCAATTTCCCATAGAACACTTTAGTCTGAAGGGTTATAAATGAATAATACCAGGGAAAATCCTTGATGAAATCACAAAACAGGCACACTTTCCTATGGACAAATATTATTTAGAACAGTCACTTGCGCTAAGACGGCACTCCAAGGTTGCCAGAACATATTTCAATTATTTATTTACAGGGTTTTCAGCTATAAAATAAGTACCATTTGAAAGTATGCTGGCAAAAGGTGAATTCCACCCTACCTTTCCAACATACTCTTGCATCTGGTGTTTTAAAACACACTAGCATTTGAGCAACCCTAGGAAAGCTAATATTTCTCATGTGTTTTCACACCGTAAAGCCACTAAAGAGTACTACACACAAAACTGCCATTATGAAGAAGCATGCCTGTGGCTGTTATCATTTGCTGAGTCTTGTGGAGATATTCTCCATGCCATCAATAATCAAACAGGAGCAGATTCTGGCCTAAGCTCATAGTTAATAGAATTTATTTAATGTCACAATCTAAGGTAGCCTTATTGGTTTATAGTATAGCCTCTGTTAAAAACATAGCTTAATATGCTTGTTTTTGTGTTGCACAGTAGTATTCATGGCTACCTAAATTAATAATAGTCCGAAGTCTGCAAATACATTTGTTTTTCCTGAAGAGCCATTAGGAAGCATTACATGGGATAATGAAAAAGAACAAACCCTAATTCTTCATGCTGTCCTGTGGAGCTTTAAGAAACCAACAGACTGGTATCAAAATATTTATCTTGGCATTAAGTGTTTCTACATTAGCAGAGTCAGCAGCCAAGTCCTGAACATTTTTAATATACAAAAGGGAGCAACAAAGCAAATTTTAAGTTAACCATCTTGAGAAGGCATTCCTGTTCAATCTGGTATATCAGAACTTTTGGGGCCAAAAGTATGAGAAAGGGGTTGGAAGAGATAATAGAATAAAATAAGCTACCCAAGTTATCTTAAACCAAGACCTCACATAAAGTAGGGTTGTTTAGTGAGTGCATTTTTTAGCCTTCTGCACAAATAACTTCAGAGAATATTACAATAATAGAATCAATTAATAAATAAATTACTTGCTGGGCAGAGCAGTGGTCATCCAGTTATCAAGTGGCTATCAAGTGTGTCACTCAGGTCTTGAGTGTATAATGAAAGCATAACGACATTTATTAAATAAGGCACTAAATGATCTTCAGCAAACACTACAGTAAAAAAATATTTTGGATTTAATCAAAAGCAAATACTTGCACTGCCAAGTACAAACAGGCTCCCTCTTTGTTGACCTTCCTTCCATTATGCCGAACAACATGTCACTTAAAGTCTTAAGGGACTTCAACAAAAGACAGTGAAACAATGCCATGATATATAAATTGTTTAATGCTACGCCAGTTAAGAAAAAGGAAAAAAAGTCAAAGCAAAAAGCGCCCAACGTTGCTGTATGTCAAAAAAGAAACCCAAAACAAACTTTAAACAATGGTAAAGAATAAGACGGCAGTATTTCAAAGCAAGAGGATAAAGGGTTAGATATACCAAACCTTACATTGTCGTCAGGAAGTTCTTAGTAGGAAAAGCTCTATGGGAATGAAAATCAAAAACGTTGTAGTTTTCTTTTCTGGTGAAGCAAGTAGCAAAGCCACACAGAAAAGGGAATGTGATTGAGATCAATAATTGAACCTTTTTCTCCTGGGCCTCTGGCTACTTAAAACAAACCAGACATAGACATAGAATCACAGAGCCGGAAGGAACCCTCAGGATCATCTAGTCTAACCCCCTGAAATGCAGGAATATGCAGTTGTCCCTTATGGGGTTTGAACCTGCAACCTTGACGTTATCAGAACCAGGCTCTAACCAACAGAGCTATCTACGGCCTTACTGGAAATTAAACAACCCAAGTATGTAAGAACACCACCTGATGTATTTGCTTTACTAATAAATCTACAACACAATCATACACACGCTGACTCAGGAGCCCCATTATGTTCAACGCAGCTTACCACCAGGAAATATGACTACAGATCTGTAAGACTGCACTTCTTAAGTGTCCACAGTATTTTTCCAAGACAGGAGCATGGGGAGAGAACCAGAATGCCCCCCAAGACCTCCTAATAGTCCTACCAGGTCCAGCGGGCACCAGCTGCCACAGCTAATGAATTCAGGTAAATTCTGGATATGTTTATCTAGCAGATGCATGGGGAGGATTGACAGTAGAATGATATGGTAATGCACAGCACTTCAGTACATGTTACCATTCCAGTTTTCATTTCAGCTAGAAAACTACAAGAGAGTGAAGTTTTGTTTTCCCACAAAATCCTATCTTTGGCCTTTGCTGAAACTACAGTGGAGCTGGGAAGACAGAGGTTTAACAGCCCTTCCAAATGCCCTTGACTTGGTTAAGCTGTTGCCACTCAGTAACTAGGCAGCTTAGAACCAGACAACACAGTGTTGAGAGAGCCTACGGTCAACAGCATAACGAGATTTGAATTTTAACTTCCTTATGCAACTTCTATTGAATTGTTTATTTATTCAATTTCTATACCGCCCTTCACCCAAGGACCACAGGGTAGTTCACAATATAACAATTAACAATGTGACAACATGCTTTACTGGTATAAAAAAGGCTGAACAGTTTCAGATTCCTTCAATAAAAGCCACTGGTTACAGACATGTTACACTTGCGGCTTATATGGAGCAATTCCCATTTTGCCTGATGCTGATCATCTTACAGTACTATGGGCTGGGTTGTTTTTTTTTTTGTGATTTTGGTATGTTTAGCACAGCCTTCCCAACCCTGATGTTGCTAGATCACAAGTTTCATTATCTCTAACCACTGGTCAAGTCTTCTGGGGATGATGGGATTTCGTAGCAAATACTACTATATACACACTGATATAAATTTGATAGATCAAACCAGATTGAAGTTTTAGAAAACAAAAGAAAACAAGAAAACAAACAAACAAACAAACAGCCTACCTTGAAAGGATTGTTTGGCTCTGTTTACCAGTTCTTCAATAGGATAACTTGCGAGATCTCCTCTGGCATGCTTAGTTTTGCAGTAGGTACATGCATTCAAACACCTAGGGAGGAAGTAGAAAGCATTACTTTATAAATCAGTTCTCCCTAACCCCACAACATATTGTTAAATGCAGTTGTTTAAGCTTCAGCACCACTGCCAGATTGCCTTCTGCTGGCAGTGGTAGTCTAAAAGAAGTACTTGAAGAAATACAGAGAGTCTAAAAGAAGTATCTGGAGAAAAATTAGGTGAGCAGGTACCACAACTTTTTAAAATGCACAGATGAAAAGTCTGCTAGATGAGCACAAAAATAATTCGCAACAGATCTTGATGTTCATTGTACTGAAAATGAACCAATCTCCCCAGTAAGCCATTCTAAAATTTCATTTCCCCCACCCCAGTGAATGGATTTTAGTCTGGTTAATAGAAGGCTATTAAAAGTTAAGATGCTCAGTGCTGGTAAGCTTCTTGTTTTAACTCAGGCCAACAGCTGAATAGCAAAGGATATACTTCTCTTGCAGTTTTTTCACTTAAATTCTTTCCTTATACTCCAGTTCCATAAACTTCCATAAATATTATACGAAGCAGAAAACCTACATCAAGAAGGGAAAATAATGTCCATTCATGTTTGTAGGGATAGTAAACCTGCTAAAAAGTTAATTCGGTAAAGGTACCTGGAGCTAGAAATTTAATAGGCGCTATACATAAATTCGGTAAAGGTACCTGGAGCTAGAAATACAAGGCGTGAACAAGATTATAAAGTTGCACGAATTAAGACAAAAAGATACATAAAACCACAACAGAAAGTAAAATAATGGTTGATTCACAATACAGCGAAGATTACACAGCGCCATATTTTCTAGCACCACTTTCCTTTCAACTTTTAAACTGAACTGAATCTGAAGTGATGTGCCTCACAGTTGGAAATCAGAACAACTATGACAGAACAGGGAAAAAGACTTCCCCAAAGTATGGCTCTCATCTGGAGAAGAGAATGAAAACAGACAGTCATAGAGACATTAAAAAAGATAAAGTGCTTTTTGGAGAAGGGTAATCAAAGAGCTCAAATTTTATAAGCCAATTACAGCCCTCAGAGTGCATTTAGATGCCCACTTTATCCATCTCTGCTTGTAGAAACCAATGGTACGCAACAGATAAGAAATTGGTTCATTTCTAATCCAACTGGAAGTAATATGCAATTACACAACTGAATTTGTGTCAGGGCCTGGGGCCTAATACTTCACTTACTGCCGCAGGCTTAAACAAGTCATGCGATATACAGCACCCCAGAGTAATGCTGTGTTCCTGATATAGCAGTGCAACTAATGCCTCACTGCTGACGCAAAGAGAAAAGCCATCCATCAAGGGTCTCTGGAAGATTGCACCCTCTCCCTCCTAGGTAGAGTGTCACAGCAAGGGGAAGTCTGGCTTAGCTAAAGTCATCAGCTTGAGAATGAACAGCTTGAGGGAGCAAGTTCCTCTCTCTTTGCTGGAAAGAACTCTGCTCTCACTGGGGCCCAAGAAACACCAGCGAAAGAAGATGCATTTGGCTCCCACTGGATGCAAGTATCTTTTAACGTTTTGTTCCGACATTATCCAGCTGATGATTTCCATTCCCTCCACTCACCTTCTGCAATGGCTCATATTTTTTAGATCATAAGCCTGAGGTCAGGGCTTATTGTTTCAATTTATGTATAGCGCCTATTAAACACAGACACTAACTAAACTAAGACGCGGGTGGCACAGTGGGTTAAACCACTGAGCCTAGGAATTGCCGATAAGAAGGTCGGCGGTTCGAATCCCCGTGACGGGGTGAGCTCCCGTTGCTCGGTCTTTGCTCCTGCCAACCTAGCAGTTCGAAAGCACACCAAAGTGCAAGTAGATAAATAGGTACCGCTCTGGCGGGAAGGTAAACGGAGTTTCCGTGCGCTGCTCTGGTTCGCCAGAAGTGGCTTAGTCATGCTGGCCACATGACCCGGAAGTTGTACGCCGGCTCCCTCGGCCAATAAAGCGAGGTGAGCACCGCAACCCCAGAGTCGGTCACGACTGGACCTAATGCTCAGGGGTCCCTTTACCTTTACCTAAACTAAACACTAATACCAATCCTTAGGCTTGTCTTCCTCATGGACTCATCTTTACTTTACAAGATTTTCCTTCTTAGGATTCACTAAGCCCAAAAATGATTAATGCAAAGAACCTCTGGTGGACTGAGGAGACCATAGCTCAGCCTGCTTCCTGGGGTAAAAAGGCAAGTTTATTGCAAGCTTTGTGCTCTCACCTTTCAAGCTGTAGCATTCAATGGCACATTCTCCTACATCTCTAGCCTTTGCTATCTTTTGCCTCAGACAGGAAGGGCAGTTAAGTATCAGGAGGAGCCCCAGAAGAAAAAGGAAGGGCTGCCTTATGCATAGTCAGATCATGGACCTATCAAGTTCAGTGCTGACTAGCAGCAGCTCTCCCAGCGTTTCAGAAAGTTTTTGTCTTTTCTAGTACTAGCTGGAGATGCCATAGATTGAAGCTGGAATTTTTCGTATGCAGAGCATGCACTCCATCATGGCAGGTTCAGAGGTGGCAAACACTATGAAGAGTAGATTAATGATTATGCCAAGGAAACATCTCATGGTAGCTCTCTGGATATCAGTTCTACTTGGATAAGAAAAACACTAGTCACTCGTGCATGTGTATGCACATGAACCGTGTAAGTAAAATATAGATTTCACATATAATGTTAACAAGCTGCTGATAGTTTTACTGTGGCTTATTGAGGTTGCCATTTTTTGTTTATGGTATCAGGAAGCTTTTTCTTACCATAGTTTTGTGATATCAAGGGATGATATATTGATATTATTGTATAAGACTGAACCTATGTATTTCATTATTATTATTTTGTAGGTTGCCATCAGGAATCCGCTTAAGAACAGTGCTTGAAATCATCCAGGAGACAGGTGCATTTTGTGACTGGGAATTGTCTGATTGCAGACATTTGAAAAGTCTTGTGCCACGTATGGCAACTGAAGATTCAAGATTAAAATTGCTGCTGCTGGCACAGAGGGTGCAGGAGGATAAATGCCTCCCTGCCCAACTCCAAAGTAAGATCATTAGCTGCTGCCTTCCGTTCTGTTTTGCCTTGTTTCACCTCCCCAAAATGCTAGCTCGCTGATTGCTGCCTTCCATGTTCCACTTTGCCTCCCCCTTCCCTACCCCAAACAGGTAAGTTCAATCTAGCACAATACATTACATAACATATCTATTTCACACACATACACTAGTATACAGTGGTACTTCGGGTTACATACGCTTCAGGTACATACGTTTCAGGTTACAGACTCCGCTAACCCAGAAATAGTGCTTCAGGTTAAGAACTTTGCTTCAGGATGAGAACAGAAATCGTGCTCTGCGGCGCGGAGCGGGGCAGCAGGCATGGTCCCATTAGCTAAAGTGTGGGCTTCAGGTTCAGAACATTTCAGGTTAAGTACGACCTCGTGGAACGAATTACAGTACTTAACCCAGGTACCACTGTATATAAATATTAAATATGCAAATGACCTATGGTTTAAGCCACAATTGCAGAGGCTGAGTCCTATTTATGCTTGTGGTGTCCAATTAAAAAATATGATATTAACAATGCTTCACTGATGTGAATTGGATTAGTTTGATACATTTCAGAAAAATAAATAGAAAGTGCTGCTGCACTTGGGAAAATAGCGACTAGCCATCCTGTTTGCACTGTAACCTAGTTCCAGGATTCATGTAGTGAATAGCTTTCTGTCCCAGTTTCTAACAATACTTAATGAAGTGCACAATCTATAATTTGTAAAGTTTTATACAGCAAGCGAGTGGATTAAAGAAAAGCAAAAACATAATTAAAGTAAGTAAAGAAATACAGGATTTGGAAGAGACAGGACTACACAAATGTCTCTCAGGAGCTGAGTCCTTGCTTCAGAAGCTGATGGGGAAGAGAAGAAGGGCATTTATTGCAAACATATAAAAAAGAAAGGTGGTGATGAAGGCTGTCTTTATGCAGAACAGATGAGACCTAATTGACATTTCAAAAACAAACTTCAGCTCAGACCAATGGGGAAAAACTAAAGACCCACACAAGATGTGATACTATCAGCAATCCTCTCAAGACAGCAATCTGGGAACTGCAACTGTTACTCAGAAAGCAAAAATATGGCAAAAGGGACCGCTTTGGCTGCCTAAAACAAACGGCTGATGCAATTTCTATTTTGTGGCTCAAAATTATTATTGACAAGTAGTACAACTGTGAAGTAGCATAGCACAGAGGACTGGACATTGACCAGAGGGACTAAAGCCCCAACTCATTAGCATACTTCAAATTTGTACCTCTGGTTCACTGTCCCGTGTGTAAAGAATAAATTTTTATGATAGCTTGGATGTTTTGATGACAACGTATCTTAGAGAGACAGAGCTGGCTGAAAAAGAATGATATATTTGTATTTAAAGAGAATTACGTATCTTAGAAGTATTACTTACTCTGTTTAGGGCTCAAGCTACACAATGTGATATAAAAGATGCTTTACAATTCATAAAAGCACCAAACATTCCTTAAAAGCTTCCAAGTGACATTTATGATGAAGGACCACTTGACCTTATTCTTAAGGACATCAGCAGCACTGGTCCAGAGTGGAGCACACGCCTTGAAATATAGCCATTCTTTTAAGATAAAAAACCAAATCTGAGGGTATTTAGACTTCCTCCCAAAATTAGATTTTTTTGTGACTTGGGGAGATTTACTGTCAATAGCCCAGGTTCCCTAATTAAGGCTTGTGCCAGGACCAAGAGCAGGGACAGCCTTATGCATAAAGACATGCTAGTTAATGTCAACAGCAGATCCTGTTGGGCATATAGTGGCTTAGAATTGCTGTGTATAAGAGGTCCTATCAAGAGGTTTCAAATCCATTATCATTTTCAAATTCAATTGTCAGCATGCTTATGAAAAGTGCCACTAAGGAGAGTCTGCACAAATCTACATGGGGTGGGCAGGGAGAGACCACAGAGACATAAACCCAGCCTAGGTTTAAAAAGCACTTTTATTATTTT